TCTTTTGTTGACTATGAGAGCTACTCCATTTCTTCTATGGGATTCTTGCCCACAATAGAAGATGCGATAATCGTCTGAATTGTACTCGCCCATTCCCATCCATTTTAATTCACTGATGCCCAGGATGTCAATGTTTCTTCTTGCCATCTCCTGTTTGACCACATCCAGCTTACCAAGGTTCATAAATCTTATGTTCCAGGTTCCTATGCAGTCTTTTTCTTCGTAGCATCGGACTTTCCTTTCACTTCCAGGCACGTCCGCAGCTGAGCGTCCTTTCGGCTTTGGCCCAACCACTTCATTAGCTCTGGATCTACTTGTACTTGTCCTCTGCTCTTCCTCAGTAGCATGATGGATGCCTTCTGACCTGAGGGGCTCATCTTTTAGCCTTTGGTTTCTGTCCATGGAGTTTTCTTGGAAAAGATACTGGAGTGGCTTGCCAGTTCCTGCCCCAGGTGGATCGTGTTAATCAGAACTCTTCACTATGACCTGCCCATCTTGGGTGTCTCTGCACAGCATAGTCCATAGCTTCTCTAAATGACTCAAGCCCCTTCGCCACAACAAGGCAGCAATCCGTGAAGGGGTGAGAAAAAGTAAATAGTAAACCTTGGGAGCTATACATGCTTAAAGATGGGAGGCAGGAGTTCTATGAAAAACTGAGAAGATTCAAGATGTCTCGTTTAAGAATGAGCAGCTGTGAAGTATCAGTCTGCAAGTTGTTTAGAACAGTGGTCCCCAACCTTGGGCCTCCAGATGTTCTTGGGCTTCAACTCCCAGAAATCTTGGCCAGCCAAGGTGGTGGTGAAGGCTTCTGGGAGTTGTAGTCCAAGAACATCAGGAGGCCCAAGGTTAGGGACCACTGATTTAGAAAGTCCAAAAGAGAACAAACAATCCCAGTTCATCGGACTGCCTACCTGTTTATTGCCCCCTTATTTGTTGTCTATTACTTGCTGTTTTGATTTTCCTGTACTAGTTCCACTGAAGCACAAAACACAGCATTTCTGGTGAGTCACACCCTCCCTTCTAATCTACCTAAATAATTTATAGTGACAAGCATGTAACAGATCTAGCTTGGATGAACTTTCTGTCTCAAGCATGAACGTTTGCTTGCCTGAGACTAGAACTGCCCCCTGGTGGATGCTTTGCATAGTTTAATTTTTAGAGATCATTGATTACATATTTTGTAATTTCCTTTCTTAAAATTATGAAGTGGAAATCGGTCTGATTTTTGTCCAAGGAACTAAGGATCTGGGGGTAAAGCATAGCTGAGAATTTGTACTAGGTGCTGCCAAAATCTTCAGAAGGTTGATGGCTCATTAGCATTTTTGATTAAACTTTATTTGTTCATTGGATTTCTATCCTGCCCCTCTCAAAAATGAGCTTTAAGGCAGTCCCACTAAGATTAAACAGAAAATACAGCTAAAGGGGAAAAATACTGAAACATAATTAAATTAAAGGCACTGTTAAAAATTAATTAGTATGAAAAAAATATTTATGCAGCACCCAGCTGGTAGCAAGCCCTGTTCACAAACGTGAAACATTTGTCCTAAATATTCTCATATTTTTTGGAAGTCCATCTGCCAATAGAGGGGCAGAGGGACTCCGTACCAACGTTGGTGGGAATTCCAGCGTCTGGAACTAGTTACTGAGTAAGTCTGAGGGTTATGGAACTTACAGAACGTCTCCTGCACGGATGTGGTCACAATGACCAGATAGGCGGGGTATAAAATAAATAAAATAAAATAAAATAAAAATATCAAAGCACATGAAAACTCAAATGGGAAGAGAATAAATCTTCAAATGGCAGAAATAATTTACTTTCTTTCACCTCGCTTCTGTGAAGATCCCATAGTAAAAAGTTTCCTTTTTTCCTTTCAACTACTCAGGCTGTGTAAACTGTGCAGCTATTTCCATCAAAACAGACCCTTACCTTCTGGATTCCCTGAAGGTCCTTGAGGTAATCCTCTTTCATGTGTTTTATAGGTCAATGGAGTCTTTGTGGACCTACCCTTCTCTTACGAAAACAAGCTGAAGGTCTACGTCAGTGGGGTCCATGGCTTCATCAAGACCGACTTTGATCTGAGAGTCAGCTTTGATTGGTACAGCTATGCCAGGGTCATTCTTCCCAAGGCTTACGCCAATGCCATCTGTGGACTCTGTGGCAACGCCAACCAAGATCCCAGTGATGACTTCACCATGCAGGATGGAACTCAAGCAAAGGATGAAATCCAGTTTGCCAAAAGCTGGACACTGAAAGAGGTCCCAGGGTGCTCCGAAGGCTGTACTACCGATTGTCCGGTGTGCAAGGAGGCAGAGAAGAACAAATACAAGGGGAACCAGTTCTGTGGCATCCTCATCAAAAAGGATGGGCCCTTTAGGCAATGCTATGGGACCCTAGATCCGACATCCTACTTTGAGGATTGTGTCTTTGACACCTGTGTGTATAAGGGTCACCATGATACTCTGTGCAAAGCCATCAGCGCCTATGTGACTGCCTGTCAGACTCAGGGCATCCAGATTGGACCATGGAGATCAGCCTCCTTCTGCAGTAAGTGTTACTTTCAGAGTAGGAGATTCATACAGTGGGGTCTTGACTTGAGAACTTAATCCGTATTGGAAGGAGGTTCTCAAGTCAAAAAGTTCTCAGGTCAAATCTGCATTTCCCATAGGAATGCATTGAAAACCAATTGATCCGTATCTGCTCCTTTCCGTCCATAGAAACTAATGGGAAGCTGCTATTCCGCCTTCGACCACTAGAGGGGGATATTTTGTTTCTTTTTTTCTTAGTTACTTTCAGAGTAGGAGATTCATATTGGCATAAAATTGGTCCCAATACAACCCTGGAGAGCCTTAAGAAATAACATTTATTTTGGAAGGATCTCAGCTCACTATATAAAATTTGAATTGTTTGTACACTGGAGTCTGTAACAGTTCCCACTACATTAATTTTTGTGGTGCTGGATCCTGCTGCCTTACTCAAATAACTATTCAAATAAATACTTCTTCAATAAAAAATGTCACAACAGGAGGAGGGAAAACCCAGGATGGTTAAAACCTTGTTATCAGAAGTGCCACACTGAGAAATTAGCACTTTCTATTGTGCTTATGTAGAATTTCCATGTGCTAAAGGGGAATGTATTTTTATTCTTTCCCCCGCCCCCACAAATTAGGATCTAAATGTTCATTAACAAGGTTCTAAGTCAGTAATTCTGGATTTTGGATCTCCAGATGTTCTTGGACTACAATTCCTAGAAATCCTGGTTAGCACAGCTAACGATAAAGACTTCTGGGAGTTTTAGTCCAAAAACATCTGGAGACTCAAGATTAAAAACCATTGACCTAAGTGGTCTTAAGGCCATTTTGATTACTCCTGTCAGAGAAGTAAAGGAAGAAATGGGAAACATTTGCCTTTCTAAATGTTTCAGACTACTGCTCTTACGATTGGTTACCAGTGGCTATGGTGGATGGAGCTGACTTAAGTGGCTTTGTCAACTTAAACAGCTCCAAGGAAAGAATTCATAGCTCTTTGTGTGCAATACAGATAGCAAACACAACAAATACATGCACTTTGTGTCGGCGTGTTTAAAACTGTCCTTGGAATTTTGTGTTAAAGAATAGCATAGAAATTATTCTGATTAATTTGCCAGTGAAGAAGTAGTTCTAAATAAATGTAACTTGTTTTTAGATAATCTAAAGAGGTATTTCCTTCTTTTGTGCAGGAATGGCCATTCCAAGACAGATCGCCATATTTATATAAATAATTGAAAAAATGCACCATAAATGCAAATAATTCATTATCTGATCATCTGCCTTTTTAATCTTATCAGCCTAATGTACTGTAGCCTTAGCTTTCAGTGACAAGAATTTGTGTTTTTTTTAAATAAGTGTCATAGATGGGGAGACAGGGTGAAGTCAGAAAACTGACTCTGCGGTTGTAAGAGAATAACTTCCGTGTTTTGGTATAGGAGAAAGCAAAGGTGGAGAATATTTATCTTTCCAGCAGTTTGGACTACAACTGTCAAATTATTGGCTAGGCTGCCTTGAGCTTTTGGAAGATGAAGTCTAAAATATCTGGACATCTAAACTTTTTCTATCTTTCCATTGGGTTAAATGTTTTTGAAGGTTCTTATTAACCTTACTGGTATATTGATAACTGGAAATATTTGGTTGAAATTAAACAAATAAAGCAAGCTTTTGCGGAATAAAAATCAAACAATTTTTGAAAGGAATCATGGAAAGAGCAATTCATGGAAAAGTCAAAGGATTCCATGGAATTAAAATCAAACAGTTAATGGATGCTTTCCTTTTATTCCATGAAAGCTTACATTAATTGTTTGTTTTTTAGTGGTCTAATTAAGGTGCCACATTCTTCTACATCTGTATTATGTAATAACAGCTTCTTCTGTTTTTTGTTGTTGCTCTGTGTTGCTTTTTTTGTGGGTTTTTTGCATATATATGGAAATCATTGTTCTTAAATTCTCATCCTCAAATGTGGGACTCACGATGTTCTATTTCTAAACTGGAACTTAAGCTTTAGAGAGCCTCATTGCAACACAGCAAAGAAAGATAGAGTGAATAATGCAGAGGCCTAAGCAATCAGTGTCTTCTGTCTGGGTTTTTCATTGACAACTGGCTGGCCTCTGTATAAAGGGGATTCTGAATTAGTGGGTGAGTGGACTCTTCCTTTGATTTTAACCAGGCAACATTATCTTGTACTGTTGTGCCACCATGTGGCTCGTTCTACAGTTGCAAAAGTTCTGAAAGCTCACAATGAAACCAATCTGGTCCTCTTTAAACTGCCACAGTGTTTTGCCTTTCCTCACTTTTAATTTTGCCAACATGCAAAACTCCCAATGATCAATAGAAAAAGCAATTTCAAAACCTTTTACAGTGGTGCCTCGCTAGACGATGATACTCCGTTCCACTGAAATCGCTGTTTAGCGAAATCATTGTCTAGCGAAAAGCATCTCCCCATCGGAATGCATTGAAACCTGTTTAATGCGTTCCAACGGGGAAGAATCGTCATTGTCTAGCGAAGATCAGCCATAGGAAAGCCGCTGTGCGAACCGCCGATCAGCTGTTTAAATTGCTGTCTTGCGAAGCTTAGGTCCCGAAAACACCTGTTTTGCAAGCACAGAGGAAGCTGTCAAAATCGTCATCTAGTGAAAATCGGTTTGCGAAGCAGAGACCAAACATTGTCCAGTGAAATTCCCCCATAGGAATCACTGTTTTGCGAATCGCTATAGCGATCGCAAAAAGTCAATGTCTAGCGAAAAAAATTGTCATGCAGGGTAACTGTCTAGCGAGGCACCACTGTACATAGGTATAGAGTTCAAGGAAATGTTTGCATCTAATAATCTCCAGGCTCTTCCCAGCTAGGTGTGAAACGTCAGCGCTATTCCAGATATCAGCAAAATTCTCCTCTTTCTGTCCTTCCAGGCTTTCTCTGTCCAAAAAATGCCCACTACGAACTCTGCGGAACGGCCTGTCCTGCTACATGCCACAGCCCCTCTGATCCCAAAACATGTGAGGCTGTTTGCATAGAAGGTTGTTTCTGTGATTCTGGATTCATCCTCAGCGGGGGGGAATGCGTCCCTCTCTCGGACTGCGGCTGTGTCCATCAAGGCAGATACTATAAGATGGGAGAAGAATTCTACCCAAGCACCTCCTGCGAGCAGATCTGCCAGTGCAGGGACAACGGAGTAGTCGACTGCCAGCAGTTTTCCTGTGGGGCTCATGAAGTGTGCGGAGTGCAGGATGGGATCCAGGGCTGCCACCCTGTCGGATACGGCATAGCCACTGCCTTGGGAGGCTTTCACTACCTTTCGTTTGATGGACTACTTTTTGAGTTCTTTGGTTCTTGCACTTACGTCTTAGCCAAAATCTGCGACAAGGATCCTCCGGGTATGAACTTCTCTGTGTTGGTGAAGAATGAGAAGCTGGATGACGGTCCTTTAGTGCAAATAAAGGGTGTTGTCGTCTCCATTCATGGATATACTGTTGTCCTGGAAAGGGGAATGAAATGGAAGGCAATGGTATGTACCCAATATTAGATGCCAAGTCAAATCTATATAGGACTGATATGAAAAATACTATAGATATAACATGCGCATATATTTTTTTGCAAGTTACAAGAAATGGTCTCCTAACTGGTATTTCTTTGTTATCTTGATACAGGTAGAGGGCACATCCTATACTCTACCACTGAGCAGAGAGGATGGGAAACTCTGGATCACCCAGGAGGGAAACAATATCCTTGTCCATTCCTCCTTTGGCATCAAAGTCCTCTATGATACTGCTTCATTTGTCCGCGTGTCTGTCCCTAGCAAGTACCAGGGGCAGATGTGCGGTCTGGGTGGCAACTTCAATGGGAATAAGAATGATGACTTCATGCTACCCAATGGGGAATTTGCGCAAAACTCAGAAGATTTTGGGGCCTTCTGGAAGGTCCCTGTGGATGGGGCCATTTGTTCTGATGGCTGCAGTGGGAGATGCCCCACCTGCACTGAATTCCGGGTGGCACCCTACAAGGCTGAGAGTTCCTGTGGAATGATCCTGTCCAAATCAGGGCCATTCAGAAGATGTCACTCCTTGGTGCACCCTGATGAATACTTTAAGCACTGCTTATACACCATGTGTATGTACAATGGGGAGCAAGAATCCCTCTGTGATAGCCTCCAAGCCTATGCAGTTGCATGCCAAGCATCTGGAGCGTATTTCGAATCTTGGAGAACAACCTCTTCTTGTCGTAAGTTTGCAGGGAGCCCTTTTCTCCCCCACTTTCCTCATAATGAATCTCTCCAAATTTCATTATAAAGGTAAAGATTCCCCTTGACATTTTCAGTCCAGTCGTGTCCGACTCTAGGGGGTGGTGCTCATCCCGCTTTTCAAGCCACAGAGCCAGCGGCTGTCCAAAGACAGTTTCCGTTGTCACATGGCCAGCGCGACTAGGGAACGCCATTTTACCTTCCCACTGAGATGGTCCCTATTTATCTACTCGCATTTGCATGCTTTTGAACTGCTAGGTTGGCGAGGGGGAGGGACAAAGTGACGGGAGCTCACTCCGTTGCATGGATTCGATCTTACGACTGCTGGTCTTCTGACCCTGCAGCACACAAAGGCTTCTGCGGTTTAGCCCGCAGCGCCACCATGTCCCTTATAACTAGCTATAATTTCATAATCGAGTTTCATTGGAGTTTTGTTCCAAGAACATTTGGGGATCCAAAGTTGGGGACCCTTACTCCTATCTCTCCATCAATCTGTATATCAGGTTCGCCGCCCATCTCCCCATGTCCTTGGCATCTGTGCCTCTGAGCTTTCTGTCTCATCTCTCACAAGTACTTCCTATTCTTCAGAACACCCCAGAAAGCTCTTCTATTCTGCAGGGCTGATGTAGTATTTAAAAATGTGACAACAAATAATCAACCTACCACAGAATTATTCTGATGTTACTATTCTCTGAGTAGCTGAATTGTTTGTGAACGTTCAAACTCAGCTGGCCCGTGTCAAAAACTCCTGATATAGCAGGATGCTATATATAAAGAATTCCAATTTTTGTACCTTTGGTGAATTCTTGTCAGAAAAGGAAGATGTTAACCAAGCACCTGTGTTTTTGCTTCTTTTCTTCTCCAGCTCTCAGCTGCCCAGCCAACAGTCACTATGAGTTCTGCACTTCTTTTTGTGACTCCTGCTGTACCAGCTTGTCTGCACCTGTTCAGTGTCCAAAGAATTGCTTTGAAGGTTGCCAGTGCAATGACGGCTACATGTTTGATGGAGAGAGCTGTGTACCTATAGACCAATGTGGGTGTGTGTATGATGGAAACTATCTCAAGGTAAGTCTTAAGATGCTTCTGTTGTTACTTTAGGCGGGGCTGGAGTGGAAAGTCTATTATGGATGCAACATCCATATTGATTGAATTGTACATGAAGTGCTCCTGAAATATTGAAAGATGGACAGAATCAACATTAATAATGAAATGACATCTCAAAATCCATATCATTCATTCATTCATTCATTCATTCATTCATTCATTCATTCATTCATTCATTCATTCATTCATTCATTCATTCATTCAGTTTGTATCCTGCTCCCACTAGTATCACGGCACTACTCTGGGCGGGTTACAACACATATAAGTAAGGGTAAAGGTGCCCCTTGACAATTTGTCTGGTCGTGTCCGACTCTAGGCAGTGGTGCTCATCTCCATTTCCAACCCATAGAGATAGCATTTGTCTGCAGACAATCCTCCGTGGTCACGTGGCCAGCATGACTAGACATGGAACACCATTTACCTTCCCACCGAGGTGATACCTATTTATCTACTCGCATTTTTGCATTTTGTATGCTTTCGAACCGCTAGGTTGGCAGGAGCTGGGACAAGTGACGGGGGCTCACTCTGATGCATGGATTCGATCTTATGACTTCAGGTCTTCTGACCTTGCAGCACAGAGGCTTCAGCGGTTTAAGCCGCAGCGCCACCACATCCCTTACACACATATAATAGAAAACAAAAATGAAAATAGAGACATCAAAACCAGCAATAATAACCCCCCCCAAAAAAAAACAGATGGCTCTGACAAATCCCTAGAGTGAATGAAGGAAAAGAGGGGAGGGAAGAAGAGGAGGGGAAAGAGGGGAAAAAGAGGTGGAAGGTGGTTGGCCGGGGTTGGTGTGGAAAGCCTCCCTGAAAAGCAATGTCTTTAATTGCTTCCTAAATGTCCACAAGGAGGGGGCTATGTGGAGCTTCTCTGGAAGCTGGTTCTATAAAGTTGGAGCCACCACGAAGAAGGTCCAACCTCTTGTAGAGGATTTATGGACCTTCCTTGGGGAGACCACCCAGAGGACCCTCGACTGGTATTATCTTGTGGGTCAGGCAGATGACATTAAGAAGATGACATCTTTACTAGAGCGATTGGTCATTACCTAAAAGCAATCTTAAAGAGTCTATCTTTCTGTCTGTCTTTCTGTCTTCTATCGGCCTATCTAAGCCAGAGGCTGGGAATTCTATTCCCTATTTTGCCTCTTACAACTAGAGCCAGCCTGGGTGGCCTTGGGCAAGCTGCACAGTCTCAAGGGAACCTCAGAAGAAGGGAATGGTAAACAATTTCTTAGTGTTCTCTACCTGGAAAACCCTGGAAAGGCTCACCATCAATCAGAAGTTACTTGACGGCATATCATTATTGTCTGTCTCATATGAAACGAGTGAATTGATGTCATATGGTTATCATTATTGTCTGTCTCATATGAAACGAAAACGTCATTTGAATGTTCACTTTTCTGTCCCTCACTCGTTCCTAAATTTCCTCTCTTACCCAACAGGCTGGAGATAGCATCTTCTCCAACAACTGTGCAAAGAAATGTACCTGTAGTAATGGCTCCAGCCTGATCACCTGTGAAAAAGCCAGCTGGCAGTCTGTGGCATCTTGCAAGCTTCAAAATGGTGCACAGGACAATGGGTTGAAGGAAGGCCAATGCAAAGTCACCCCTGAAGCCCAGCTCGTGTCTTTTGATGGGGCCTCAGGGAATTTCCTCTGTGGTGGGGTTTATGATCTGGCTATTGTTTGTGACGAAAGTGCTGTATCCTGGTTCAGGGTATCGGTGAAGATTGGGACAGACAGTGATGACAGACTGGATGTTGGGGAAGCGGCCTATATTTTCTTTCAGGATACATTCATCGCTGTGAAAAAGGACAATAAAACATGGGTAAGTAGGGGACAGAAAACCAGTAGCGCTATTCGACCTGTGTCTTTATGAAGGTTTGATCCATCCTTAAGCCCTGCAACATCTTTGTTATTTACATCAGAGACAGCCAACATGTTGTAGCTACAGTGAGCATAAATAGTGATGATGAAGCAAATTGTAGTCTGATCTGCAAGCCACTACTTACCTACCTATGATACCATCAAGGGGACGGGCTGGGGCTACTGTGAGAAAGGAAGCTCAAAGAAATTTGGGTATTTTTGAGTAAATGTTGATTTAAAAAAAAAGAAAAGTCATTGTTAAACTTGGTTATTATCTTATCAAAATCCAGCCTGAGCATTTTTTGAACTCTGAAGAGGCATGGGAGTGCCACACTAAACGCAGTGGGATTTTTTTAGGCATGCATCTCTCTCTTTATATGTGTGTGTGTGTGTGTGTGAGAGAGAGAGAGAGAGTGAGTGAGAGAGAGAGAGAGAGAGAGAGAGAGAGAGGTATTCTGAATGTGTATTAAGCTGTTTTTCAACATGATCTAAACTGATTGGTTGTTTGCAACTGATTTACAATGACTCTAAGAGGGTTTTCAAGGTAAGTCAATCACTTGTGCACTGTAGCACACTGGAAATCCTAAGTTACTGATCTAGATCAGTGGCCTCCAACTTTGGGCCTCCAGATGTTCCTGGACTTCAACTCCCAGAAATCCTGGCCAGCAGAGGTGGTGGTGAAGGCTTCTGGGAGTTGTAGTCCAAGAACATCTGGAGGCCCAAGGTTGGGGACCACTGATCTTCTAGACTACAGCACCTTTGCTTGTGGGTAACTTAGGATTTCCAGTGTGGTGTAGCTGATAAAGTGATGGACTAGGACTCTGGAGGCCAGGGTTCGAATCCTCACTCAGCCATGGAAACTCACTGGGGGAGTAGAATTGGCAAAACTGCTCGTTGCAGTAGATATCTCACTTACTTTGAAAGCCCTATTAGGGTTGCTATAAGTCAGTTCTGACTTTGACAACACTGAACGACACAACTAAGGTATCTTTGACCCAAGTTTTGGTAACTGAACGAACTTTGTCTCAATTCTTTCAGCCTCAATTGGTCATAGAAGTTCCTTATTGTTTTAGAGTCCTCTCAGTGTCTAGCAGAGATGTTGGCCAGTCTTTGGGTCTGAGTCCCAAATCCAAGTCTTTGGTACCAAGCCCCGAGTCCCGAACCCCAACTTCCTATTGAAAACATTTTTCCCCATGAAAAAGGGAGGGGAAGGTGGGTTCCAAGTGGCAATCTGCGTCCGGGTTATTGCGGTGGCAGCGGCGGGATCCAAGATGAGTCCAAGTCAATGGTGTGACTTAAACTTGACAGCGAGTCCTGCGACCTGAGTCCTCACCCCTCGTATCTAGGCCTTCGTGTAAGGAGCCCCAACTTCCTATTGAAAACATTTTTCCCCATGAAAAAGGGAGGGGAAGGTGGGTTCCAAGTGGCAATCTGCGTCCGGGTTATTGCGGTGGCAGCGGCGGGATCCAAGATGAGTCCAAGTCAATGGTGTGACTTAAACTTGACAGCGAGTCCTGCGACCTGAGTCCTCACCCCTCGTATCTAGGCCTTCGTGTAAGCCCTCATCTTGTCTCTCTAACTGAATGTTTGTATGTTTCAGGTAAATGGGCGCTTAGTAAACGTGCCATACACCAAAGATGCTGTGACTGTGAATAAAGATCAGGATGGGCTTGTGGTTGATCTGGCTTCTCAGGTGCAAGTTCACCTCCATCCTAAAGGAGAGATAGCAGTGAAAGTCAAGGAGACCCTGGCAGAGAAACTATGTGCCCCATGTGGAAACTTTAATGGAGACAGTTCTGATGACCTGAAAACACCCAGTGGGGAGTTGGAGAAGACCACTGTGGAGATCCTTCATGCCTGGAAGGCCAAGGACTTCTAAAACACATCAATTCTCTCTATATTGGGCATTCATCAATTTCTGTTAGCTTTGCCAACAAATCATTGCTGTTCAAGGACTCCACATCTGCTTCTTTCTTTAGGCTTATTCTGGAAATCTCGTACAACTTCGACCTTTAAATAAGTGAATAGAAAAAGAATGTACTGTATATAGAACAAGCAGCTTTCCGAGTGACATGATTCCATCACTGCTTTCCCAGCTCCGTCACTCTGCATTGCCAAATACCACGGCATCATGTAAGTCACTGTTGAGTGTGTGTTTTTAAAAGGGTATTGTTGTAAGCCGCCCAGAGACCTTTGGGTAGTGTGGGCGGCACATAAGTTAAATAAATAAATACATAAATAAATAAAGTCTGCACTTCTTCAGCCTCCCTTCACCAGCTACTTTGTCCCTAGAGCTGGCCTGCCCAGATGCCAAACATGTTGTTGAAATTATCTGCTCTGGTCACATGTTTCTTCAATTCACCAGTTTACCAATTTTGTAATTTTTATATTAATTTTCCATATTTTTCCCAGTCATCAGTATTATGCCCTATATTTTGCGCCCATTTGGTCATACAATCTTTTACCTCATCTTCCATATTAATTTCCAATAACAATTCATACTTTTTAAAAATCAATTTGTCATCTGTTTCTGTATTTTATCCAGGGGTATTTGCTCTTTATAACCCCCCTTTTTATTTTTTACATATCTAGATTCCAGTTGTATTCTAGCCCACCAATCTATATATATATATATATATATCTTGTTCTTCTAACTCATCTTTTGTTTTTAATACACAATTTCCTTTTAGTAATTCTTTATATCTGAGCAGACTATGGTCATAAGGTTGGGTTGTGTAAAAGCTTCTAATGGAGATATGCACTCTGGTATCTTTCTATATATCTGATACCACATCTTGTCTTAGGACCTTAGTAGAGATATTCTTATCAAATGGTTGTTACAATATTTATGGTCTTTAGCTTTTTTTACCACAAAAATGCATGCCAACGGAAGGCAATGGTGGCAGAGGAGGGGGCGGAATGGGTGGGCGGATGGTTCTCTCCCAGCATGAACCCGAAAAATGAAATGCAGACTGGTTTGATTGGGGGGGGATTTATGATAGTTCAGATCCTGAAGCTGAGGCTCCAATCCTTTGACCATCTCATGAGAAGAGAAGACTCCCTGGAAAAGACCCTTATACTGGGAAAGTGTGAAGGCAAGAGAAGGGGACAACAGAGGAT